GCCGGCGGCTAGAGTTCGAACACGCGCTCAACTTATTTTTTCAATTCCTTTAATTATTTTTTCAAATTAAGTAAATTTTTTTATCTAAGGCTTACTAAATATTAAATGATACTCTATATAATTATTTTTGTATTTTATAAAAGAAAAAAGTACTGTAATTATATAAATACTTACATTAATTTTAATAAATATATTTTATATAACTATAAATAATATTTAAAATTAAATATATAAAAAGGTATTAATTGAATATTTTACATTAAAATTATTTACAAATCTTTTTATAATATGAAATACACAATATAATATAAAAAATATTATATATAATAAAAAATAATTTATAAAACCTATTAATAATATTATTATTATGAAAATCCTCTAATGTTTATAAAAAATATTTAATAAGTCAATTTTTAAATAAATTTTTTGATTTTAATAAATTTATTTAAATAATTTTAGTAACAGAACTTAAATAGTTTTAATAACTGTATTTAAAAAATAATGAATGTATTAAAAAATTTTAATGAATGTTATAATTTATTGAAATAATTTTTAATTAATAATAATTAAATATTTTAAATAATAATAAGTAATTAGCACCAATTAATATTAAGGAATTATAAATAATAGTTTATTATTTTTACTATATTAAAATTTTAATTAATTTTAATTGATAATTTTAATTAATTTAAATAATACATTTATTATTTTTTACTTTATGAAATACAAAATAATTACTTAAAATATCATTTAATATTTATAAACCTTTCATAAATAAATTTATTTTATTTCATAAAAATAGTTATAGAAATTGAGGAAAAAAATTTGATCGGTGATTCGAACTCTATTCGCCGGCTTTGAAGGCAGGCGTCTTATCAACCGAGCCATTGCGTTGCCCGACGAAAGCAAAACGAAATTGTATAAAAGCTAAGCTTTAATTTCGAAGCCTTTTTTTTTTCGAATTCACTGCCCATTCGGCGGAATTACACTGCGGATTGAAAAACCATAAAGAAAACTATTATTATACCAAGCTTCAAACCCAAAATAAATTTTCTTCGTCGTGCCCTTCACTTGTTAGATAAATTGGTACAACGTCAAGAAATTATGACATGTGAAACGGTAATTTATTCCTTTTTTCCAAAAAAAAAATGATTTAGAATTTTAATTATAATTTTATTTTTATTATAAAAATACAATATCAAAATTTAAGTTACCGAATTATCCGCCATCCTTTTAGAAATTTTTTCCGCCAGAAATTCCCAGTAATAAAAACTCCACAGATCACTTTTGTAAGCTTATTTATGAGGGAAAGAGAAACCATTAAATAAAATTTGTATAATATTTGCATACAAGAATATAATTTAAATTATGTACTAATATCGTATGAGAATCCATTTTCATGGTATCTATCTCTAAAATTATCAACACACACAAAGGGTGGGGTTGCGAAAGAGAATATAATACAAGAAAGGGGCTCTGCGTTCAGGATGGCCGAGTGGTTATGGCATCGGACTCCTGCATAATTTGCAAACTGCTGCCTCTCCTTGATTTGAGGTCATACGGTATTGAAAGATCGATACGAAAAATAAAAGTATATATGTCTTAACAAAATACTGAAAGGGATTCGATAATAAACTAAAATGGCATGGTTAAAAATAATTATTCAAAAGAATGAAAGAGAAAAAAGTTACACACGTATGTGAAACGATTCTAAGGACGATTGACCAAATATGATTGGCAATTGCAGAAGCCATAATGAGGTGGTAAACTATGTATCCTTCATGATCCATGTTCAATGAGACGCAGCATCTGTAAAGTTGGTGGTTATCCGATTGACTGTTGTGTCTGCAGGTTCGATTCCTGCTCCTGAACATTGGTTTTTTAACACATGCTTTAAAAACCTAAATAGATTTAAAGTTCTATAGAAAATTTGAAGTTAATCAAAAAATAATTTATTTTAATTTTGTGACACAGAGATAAAATGTCTTTCTAATATTAGCCGAAAATATGCATATTTTTTTAATTATAAATTTTATAGTTTATGTAACGTTCTTTTTATCCCATAATGAAAAAATACGTGTCAAATTATGTTACAGTAAAAGTAAAATGTACTAGAAGTATTTTGAATCTTTTTTTATCTTTATCTTCATGAACTAATTTATTAACAGATAATAATTTTTACATTTTAATGAAATAGGTTCGTCGTGTTTAACCGATCCGGGATTCAAACCCATGAGTAGACAAGTATTTCACCAGCCACGCATTCACACACACAATGTAGAGCCTCTTGAATTCATCTGTCTAACAATAATTTATTTCAGAAGAATTAAAATCTTGACGAAGTGGTACATGGAAAGAAAAATACAAACACAAATTTCGTGACCTAGAGAGAGATATCGTTTTTTTATTTTTGGGAACATTTTATTACAAGAACATGCATTTTAAAGCAGGTTGGACATTAAGTAGAGGTGAGTGAATTATTAACGCGTCGCACTATTAAGCTACAAGAGTACTTTTGTTGACGGACTTCGTAATTTTGAACCATGGTCAAGTGAAGAGAATGACATTTAACGACATCCTCTCTCACTACCACACCAAAGAGGGGCATTTAATCTGAGAAACGTGCATGTTTCCGTAATGGTGAGTTGTGAATTGGTACGGGCTCCAGACTCATGAATGCGTTATAATCCGATACCTTAACCATGGGCAAACAGCCTTCCGTTGTATAATTGCTGATGATGAATGAAAAGTTCCGTAATGTGCTGGAAATAAACTGATTTTGAAGAAATATTGAGTAAATAAGAATCAACATTGAATACTTTTCTAACAACATAAGCGGAAAATAAATTTAAATGTTAAATTAAGTATTGTTTTAGTATATAAGATATTATTTAATCACTTGTAAAATACTTTTCTAACAACATAATGTAGAAAATATAATTTAAAATATTGAACATGCATTAAGAATTATATAGAAGAAATTATTATTTAATCGTTGTAATTGTAAATGTAATTTTCTGAATAATAATAATTTACGATTTCTAAGTTCATGTTAATGTATATATGCCGAAAACAGCCTTAATTGTCTCTGGAAAAATGAATTCACAAATATTAGAGAAAGAATAAAATAACACTTTTCATATTTCTCATTTTTTAGTTAAACATTTTAAAGTTATAGCTTAAAGAACATATCTATACATATTCTCCGTCATTCTTTAACTCATTATTATACAAAATTCATCATTTTTATAAAGATATCTTCCTGTTTATATTGTAGTTATTGTAAATTATATTAATCATTAGGAAAATTTATAGTGTTATGTAAATTGAAATTGAGAGCTTCATTGTGGAGTATTTAAATTCTAAATTCAATTGTCTTACGATAAAAATTATGCAAACAAGAGATTTCAATATTACCATTGTTTATATTAATTAAGAGAATTTTGTTTTTTTAGTGCAATTTTTAAATCAATACAATTCACCTTTAAAATATAACTGTAAGAAATATGATTTATTATTCGTCAAAATTAAAAAGACATCTTCGAAGGGGAGGGCTCGACTAAGGAACTTCATTTGGGGTCGAGACTTTGTGTAATAGTAGTACACCTATAGAGTGTTCAACCCTCAATAAAATTAAGTCGAATAGCCAGTCAATTCGAAGAAAATAGCCTTCAAAATGTATGCTTAGCTTTTATACAATTAAGTTTTACTTTCCTCCAGCGACGCAAAGGCTTGGTTGATAAGACGCCTGCTTTCATCGCCGGTGGCTAGAGTTATACAATATAATATATAAATATTATATATAATTTAAAATAATTTATAAAATCTATTAATTATATTATTATTATGATAATCTTTCTATGTTTATAAAAATATTTAATTAGTCATTTTTAAATACATTTTTTTGATTTTAATAAATTTACTTAAATGATTTTAATAAATTTATTTAAATAATTTTAGTAACTGTACTTAAATAATTTAAATAACTGTATTTAAAAAAAAATTTAATTAATGCATTAAATAATTTTAATGAATATAATATTTTTTGTATGAATTTTAATTAAACATAATTAAATATTTAATTAACAAAAAGTAATTAGTACCAATTAATATTAAGGAATTATAAATAATAGTCTATTATTTTTATTATATTAAAATTTTAATTAATTTATTGAAAAATTAATTTTAATTGATAATTTTAATTAATTTAAATAATAAATTTACTACTTTTAATTTATGAAATACAAAATAATTACTTAAAATATCATTTAATATTTAATAAACCTTTCATAAATAAATTTATTTAATTTTATTAAAATAGTTATAGAAATTGGAAAAAAAAAGTTGATCGCGTGATTCAAACTCTTTCCACCGGGATTGAAGGCATGCGTCTTATCAATCGAGCCATTGCGTTGCCTTTCGAAAGCGAAACGTAATTGTATAAAAGCTAAGCATTAATTTCGAAGGCTTTTGTCTCCGAATTCACTGGCCATTCGGTGGAATTACACTGCGGATTGAAATACCACAAGGAAAACTATTATTATTCCAAGCCTCGACCCCAAATAAATTTTCTTATTCGTGCCCTTCCCTTATTAGATAAATTTGTACAACGTCAACAAATTTTGACATGTGAAAAGGTAATTTATTTCTTTTTTTTCCAAAAAATGATTTAGAATTTTAATTATTATTTTTATTATAATTTTTTTTAAAAATACAATATCAAAATTTATGTTACCGAATTATCTGCCATATTTTAGAGCCTTTTACCGCTAAAAATTCCCAGTAATAAAAACTCCACATATCAGTTTTGTAAGCTTATTTGTGTAGGAAATAGAAACCTTTAAATAAATTTGTATAATATATGCATACAAGAATATAATTTGAATTAAGTATTAATATCGTATGAGAATCCATTTTCATGGTATCTATCTCTAAAATTATCAACAAACACAAAGGGTGGGGTTGCGAAAGAGAATATAATACAAGGAAGGAGCTCGGCGTTCAGGATGGCCGAGTGGTTATGGCATCCAACTCCTGCATCCTTTGCAAACTGCTGCCTCTCTTGCTTTGAGGTCATATGGTATTGAAAGATCGATACGAAAAATAAAAGTATATATGTCCTAATAAGATACTGAAAAGGATTCGATAATAAACTAAAAGGTCATAACCAAAGATAATTATTCAGAAGATAGTGCAAGAGGGAAAAAAATGTCACGCAGTATGTGTGACAGGATTCGAACGATTGGCCAAATATCACTGGCAATTGCACAAGCCATAATGAGGTATTAAACTGTGTTCTCTATGTTCAATGAGGGCTAGCATCTGTAAAGGTGGTGGTTATCCGATTGACTATTGTGTCTGCAGGTTCGATTCCTGCTCCTGAATAATAATTCCTTTTTAATACATGCTTTAAAAACCTAAATAGATTTAAAGTAATATAGAAAATTTGAAATTAATCAAAAAAATAATCTCTTTTAATTTTGTGAGATACAGAGATAAAATGTCTTTTTTTTTATTAGCTGAAAGTTTGCATATTTTTTTTTAATTATATATCTTACACTTTATGTAACGTTCTTTGTAACCCATAATGAAAAAAAATACTTGTCAAATTATTTTATAGTACAAGTAAAATGTACTAGAAGTATTTTGAATCCTTTTTATTTAACTTTATCTTCAGGAACTAATTTATTAACAGATAATAATTTTTACATTTTAAGGAAATAGATTTTATATGTTAGTGTTTTAAATGATGTTTGGAATTTCTGATTGCATTTTGGACAGTCATGAAATTTAATGAAAAAGTAGTACATTATTTTGAAAATTATTAGAAACTAATAGATTTTATTTAATAGCCCTTCCATGTTGCTATCCGTGTAGTGAAAACTACGCCTCCTGTAAAAATGGATATGATCTATTAAAAAAGTTAGTTATTGTTTATATTTTCTCAAAGACATAACTATGCATTTTTCTTTTATTTAAAAAAAATATTTTTCTCTTGCTTGAAAAAATCAATTCTTTCATCCATTTGTGATTATTATTTATTTTGTTTTTTGATTATGTTTCAGTCACCACTACTGCAATAATTTTTGCAAAATGGAAAAATACTTATATTTATATACAAACTCTATACAAACAAGAAATTATTGATATTTTTCTTTTAATATCAACTAAGTAACAATTTTAGAAGGATGAAAAATTATTTCTATATCTAATTTAGAAAAAAAGTTTGAAAAGCTATTTAGTATACATTTTTTACGTTTTTATTAGTAAAACATTTCATGTCTCGTTTTTTTGTGCGTTTTCAAATTATCAATAAAGTTTCAAAAAAGTGCAAAAGAAGTTTTTATTTTCATCTGTATGAAAAAATT